ATGATTCTGGAAGCTGACGTGTCCTTGGAGGAAGCTAGCGGTTTGCACTATCACCTCCAGGTGCTCCAGGAGCTCCAGTTCGTCACACCATTAAAAACTCACCAGTTTAATTCCCCAAAGCGGCCTTGACCAAGACTCTGGACACTGAGAATGTGTTAAATGCTGAGCATGAAGTCCCCCAGGGGCTCAATACGGATAAAAGATAACTTTAAATCAAGAACTTTGTGCACAGTGAGGACATTATGGTTAATTCTGGATGTTCTCACATTTTTTAAACGTGAGGACATCGTTGGGACACTGTGGACACAGTCGTTGGAACTGGAGAACATCTGGTGGACAGTGAGGCCATTATGGGTGGTTTTAAGGACGTTTTTTGCACAGTACAAAACGTGGACAATGGGGGTCATTATTGCTGACTTTTGCCCGTCAGGGAACTTGTGGAAACTAAAGACACTTTAAAATTAGGACTTTCTTTGAAGGGTTTGGATTTGTTATGAGGCAAGAATGTCTTCAGTACACTGATGACTGTATTGCTTAGTGTTGAGTTACAAACATCTCCCATTTATACATGATTTGTTTGAAGTTAGACGTCAAAAGATGCTCAGAGCTTCGCATACTAAATCGTTCGCAACAGTTCACTTCCACACAGACTTGTGCAGCAAAATCCAAGAGATTCAGCGGAATAAAAGCAACCAGAGCTGGTTTCTTTAGTTTATTTTATACTAGATGTCAAGACGAACGACATATAATTGGAGGTGACTGCGGTAGGCTGTGCTGTGGAGTGAATCAGGGTGAAGCCTTGTGGTTTATGTGGTTTATGTGGCCATCTAGTGGGCTGCTGAAACACTTCCTACATGGACACAGAACAAACACAGGATGGAGAAGGCTTTGCTTTCAACTGCAAATGGGTTGAAAACTCTGCTGACAGCATGCAGCTCCTGAACCGATGAGTCATATCAGACGTAGGAGCTCTGAAAAACTCCGAGCAGAATTATTTTCACTTTCTGTCCAAACCAAAAAACCCACTGTATGCACTGTACGTAAAAATGTCAGGTTTTGCCACTTTAATTCGTGCCGTATCTGGAAAAGTCCCAGTAGGACTTGCTGAATGTGCATTTACTGTAAAAAATACAGTGTTTACAAGAATAAAGCTTCTCAAACAGAAACTGCTCAGTGACGGCGAGCATATTTGACCCAAGTTCTTTGTAAAGCACCTGTTAAACTCGACAGAAAGCCTCCAGGTTCATTAGTTAGTTTACACTTTTCAACTCTTATTCCTAGAAAAGTTGGAAATGCTGACCTGTGCATCCTTCAGATTTTCCCCTTAGTGTGGAAGGTGCAAAATTCCTGTGTAGTCGCAACGTTTTTTTCCAAGTTTCTTTACCGTTTCCCCGCACTTCTGTGAATTACGCGGTTTAACAACGATCTTGTCACCTTTGAAACCTCAGTTCATGTTCTGGTTAAATAACCGGTTCCTACCTTGAGATCAAAGACAGTGGATGAAGAAGCTGTCAGCGTGATTCATCCGAAGTAAAGAAGCGTTTCTCGGCTCCTGTAGCAGCTTCTTAATAGTGATGTGAGGCGTCCAAAGTGTGTTTATTTTACAATTCGTGTGTGTTTTTGTCTTGCATACACAAAAGCAATACATGTGGCGTTAGATTTTAGTTGGCATCGGCCTCCGTTTAGTCTACGTTATCACTGTGAAAGAATCAAAACAAAAGAAAACCTACTTTATGCATTGGATGGTTTTTTTTAATAGAATATCTTTATCCTGATAATTTATTAGACATTGCATTTGATGGGAGCAATATGTTTACATTTAGTTTTGTTTTTATTAAAACCACATTGCTAATGTGCAGTACGGTGATGTTCATCTTCATTTTGCACAATTTCAGTTACAGTTTAATAAACAGCAGCCGCCTGTCTGCACAAAGCAACAAGCAAGAAGGATTACTGGAAATGCAAAAATGACAAAAAAAGCTTGACTTCTAAGAATTGTTTGTCTGTACATTGAAGACAGAGTGATGCTGCTGTGGACTATATTTACAATATCTGGAGCTGTGTTTGGGCGTTTGTAAGTACAGAGGAGTTGTTGTTTTTGATCAGAGCAGAAAGTGCTGCTTTTTACCACTTATTGACTGAGTGCGTGTGGTTTTTCTCTGTCACTTCCCTCTGCACGGCTTCTGCTGCCTCTATAGCTGCGCATAAGTCGACCAGGGTTTGTGGCTTTGTGGCCCGGATGGGTGGGTGCATTTTTCTTTTTCCTGAGGTACTCTTGAGCATTGAGGTTAGCGGCACAGAGCTGAAGATGTAGGAAACAGAACTTTGCTAAAAGAAGGTTGGCGGCTGAAGGATGGAGGCCATGGTTAGAGGTAAACAAAACGGCCTCGACTTCACAGAAAACGACGCTCGTGCTGATGGTTTCCACGTCGGACGCACTTCCAGTAAAGCGATTGATCTGTTTTGACGTTTGTCGACTTGGTGATGTGCTTTGTGTACAGTCAACACAAACGACAGGCCTCAGAAATGAGAGCAGGACGGTAGCTGTGAAAGCATCCATGAATATGCACTTGGAGAGTCACTGCTGGCTTCATTTTTTTTTGATTCAATGAACATGTATTCATGCTATAAGGACTAATATTCTCCTCTTATTTTGAAATGAAGAGCCAACAAGACACTAAGTTTCAGTCATTATTAAAAATAACCTTGAATCCTGCTCTTACTAACACAATCTTTCAATAAAGGGAGTTGACACCCAATAAAGTGCAAAAACACGATTAAAACTCCGACACTGTTTATTACACTGTATGCTTTCTCAATGCAATGCACATTTATACAGTTTATACGTATACTTTTAGACTTAAGTTTATATTTTAAGGACATATTTTTCTGCTTTTGTTTATCTTGTCTCTTGTAGACTTGAATGGGAGCTTTTGCAGTTTCTGATTCTGATGATGCAATCCACCAGATTCTGATATTATTATAACTGTTGGGTCTCGTGGTCGGTCTGTGCAGGATAAAATAAATCCATCTGTATTAATTTAACCATTCATTTATATCTAAGGGTTATTAACAAGAAGTTATTCATAGTGTAGTTATTCACGTAATGAGCTGCAGTTATCTGTATAATGTTTAATTAGTCCTACAACAAAAACATCATCTTGAACATCCGGAAAGATGTTTATGATGATGAAAAGTGATGGTTTTTATTGATGCACCTGACACACTCACATCAACAGATTATTTATTTTATCCACATTTCAACCACGTACTTCCTCGTCCAAGTGGACTGTTTGTCAGATGTCTGCAGCGCATCAAACACCTGCATGCTGTTGAAGAGCCATGAGTGTTGTTTTCGCTGTGAATTTGGCTCCTTCAGCAGCAGCAGCAGCTCTTTTGGCCCGACTGAAACTAACAACATGATTACTTGTCTCGAGGACGCTGCTGCAACCACAAACACGTGTCCATCGCAGCTTCTCCGTGCACGCTGGGGTATCTGTTGCGTCTTTTAAAAAGGATGTACTGAACTTTCAAATTTCTGCTGCTTGTCTTATAGATATATAACACCTACCAAACAATAACATAGAAATGTCCCATCATTCCAAACCTGAGATGTATTAATAAATCTTAAGCTTGAATTCTGCTACAGTTGATTTTACATGCAAAGTATTCGTCTAAAATAGGTTTTTTCACAAGAAATTGCATCCTAACGTGCAAATTTAAAGCAAAAAACTGTAAATCATGTAAATAAACTTAGTGTGAACTAAGCTAATACCAAATCTTGCTTTATACTCATGCATCTGTATGCTTTTTGCAGAAAAAGCAACTCTAATGCAGCAGAAAGAGTGAACATACACTGAATTTACTCTTTCAAACATGTTTAATTTAAAAAATCAGCTACTTTACTATAATTAAAGTTATTTAAAGCAGTAATTGGGCTTCTGAAAATGTGTTAAAAGCACAAGAAAATGAGTCAAAGTCTAATCTGTGCTTTTTAAGTTCTTCACACAAGCTGTTTAGATTTTAACTTGCATGTGCTTCTCCAGCTTTAACGTCAAAGCCCCTAAACGCATGAAGGGGATCTGAAATGCAGCGCAGAGAGGAAATTACATCATAACCTGAGCATAAAGAAGTCAGATCACCGAATATTTCAGTGCAAGTTCCAGTTTATTTATTCGAATATTTACAGACAGACAGAGAGAGAAAGAAAAAGTGACTCTTTATATGCCTCTGTGGTCGTTTTCTTTTTAGTTTAGTTTTTTTTTTTTTCCACACAAAGTCCTCGAAATGCCAGCAGTGTTGTTCCACCGCACACTGCTTCAAAAACACATAGACATTACTTCTCATTAGTGTTGTGGAGAGTTCATTAGTGCTGAGGTCTCCGTGTGCGCTTAAGGTCACCCAGGAAAGAAAAAAAACCAACCTGACTCACGTAGTTACTTACAGGAGAGTGGAGCTATACAAGAATGAAAAATCTGACTTTTTTTTTCTTAAACTGTATTCTTTGTTGGAGCTAGCCGTTTGTATCCTGAGTAAATCCGAGGGACAGTTTTTGACTCATGAGTTTAATTTTTAATCTAATGCTGGCAGATTTGATCTTTTTGTTCGTCTCCTGAGTGAACCAAGGAGTCAGTTTGCTGTTAGGACACAAGAAAAGTAAGAAAAACAGATGCGATGAGTTCAGATTTTGAGGTTTTTATACCGTGACAGTGGGGAGGAGGGGGTGGTGGACACAGAAAGAAAAAACAAACTAGGAAATAAAATCTTCAACTAGCGATTCTAAACTGTGTTGACCTCAGCGCAGCTCTTGTGTGTGTGTCTGCGGATGTGTCGCCATGTAAATATCCGTGTGCATCACGCTGTGAGCTCGAACAGGGTGTGATCGCTCTGCGTTGCTGCTGCCGGCCAACAGGTTGTGGTCGCGAATATGCCAGAAACATCGACCACAGTGCAGCCTCTTGCCGCACACTGACACAAACAGAGAAAAGCCCCTCCAACTGTGTCCTCTGCTTTTAAAAATTATTCTTTGTCTTTGGTAAAGAGCCCACATAGGTCCTCGAATTGGAAGAAAAAAAAAATATTATTAGTGAAATCTCCAACTTAAATGTCTCCTCTTTTTTTGGGGGGGGGAAAACTTCAAGAACTTAAAGTTTCCAGATGCACCTCCAGTGGTTTTCAATTCTGCGATGCTGACTTTCAAGTTTGTGATGCAACGTTGCATCATGAAAGAGCTTCTGCACATTTTGATTGTTGTGCTGTCGTCGGTAAAATCGGGAAAAAATGCATCAAAAAAGTTTCTCATCAAGACTGAAACCTTCAGACAAACATTCATTTTAATCTGCAGGCTGTGACTGGAGTTGGATATTAGTTGCCTGGACGACGTACCACTACGCTGTGAGTAAAAGAGGATAGGTGTCGGGTAGTACTTGGATATAACTTGCATATAATTCATATTTAGTTGTGGTGTTGGCTAGGATTATATATACTGATTTACAGACACTCCAATTTGAAGTTGTTGAATAATAGAGTACACGTTGCATGAGCCTTACACACTTGCAAAATATCTGTCTGTACACAGCTTTAAATATTTGTACACATAGTGATATAGGAACATACTGTACATACAGTATAGAATACTTGGGAGTCATGAAAGCCCTCTTCGATTGAATGGTCAAGCACAGCCTTGAGGTTGTTATTTTAAACCTCTGGCTTTTTTGTTTTAAAGGATAATTCTGGTTTATTTCAATTTTGGTTCTTTCAGTTTCAATAAATTTGCAACCACCGAGCTAAACGATTAAACATGAGCGTAGCAACATCACTAAAAAACAACATCATAGCTGATAAAATGCTGCCATATATGCTTGTTTTCTTTTTTCTATTTCTGCGAACTTTGTCTTTTTCTAGTGAAATTCTGAATAATTTTCAGGGTTTCCCCCAGGAAGCTGGTTAGCAGAGGTGGTGAGTACTGCTTTCCTCAACCCCTCCGCTACCTGAAGCCGAAAAAGAAAAGCAAGCAACAAACTTTTTTTTTTTTTTTTAAACTGTATGTAAAGAATTCACAGTTCAGCCACAGCATGAGCCAGACGTTTTATAAATGAACTCCGCGAGGCAAACCGCACAATAACACGGAGCAGCCGAGTCGCTCTCACAAGATTAAATCAAATTTAGGTGAAGATTTTGTGCAGCTGATAAGATGTTATCGTAGCTTCTGACACGCTAACGTCTCATTGGGGGGAAATTAAAAAACTCTGGAGCTCAATCAATAAATAAAAACACAATACGTCACAAATATAAGCTACATTTAGTTGATATTCTCATACTGCCGAGTAGGAAAATTGTCGGAAGTGTGAGGTTTAAAGAAAAATCCCACTCCCCTCTCCATCTCCCGAAACACAGAAAATATACATTTTAATTATTCATGCATATTCAATACAGCACTACGTTTACTAAATCTGAGTGTATCGTCTTTGGCTGCCATATTTGTTTGGCTTTGTAGCTGCAGGTACCGGCTGCTTGGAGTCCTGCATGAACACATGACTTTAAATAAAGAAACCTCCACCTGGCCTGGTAGCTAAACAGCGTTAGCATGTTATATTAACAACTGACAGGGACACAGCTGAGGTTTCCTCTGACAAACTACTGATTGGTCACAGTTTTGCTGCCTTACCGAACCCCATTTTCTGCTTTGTGCATGGAAATACACTTGCAGGACTTTGTGATAAATATTGGAGCAGCCAAAGTAATGGACGGGTATGCAGAGTTAAATAAATACATTCCATCTTGAGTCATCAGCGGCCTTCTGCTCATCTCAGATTTGTTATCTTGTTTTTTTAGTCATGAACTATTGATATTTGATCGGGTATCTGTGGAATTTCAGATTGCTAGCTAAAGTACTTTCCGAGATCAAATTTGCCAAAGAAATACCCGTTGACCCACTTTCAGCAGGTTTTTTTTTGTTTTTAACTCTCTGAAAGTAGAAGCTGTTTGAATAATGAAAATCTCAGGAAGCCTTGAAGATAAAAGCCTGAAATTTCCACTGTTGTTTCTCATCATGTCATCAGTTGAGAATCTGCAATATTGGACAAGAAGATCAAATAATCTCAATAGTGTCAGCGGTATTTAAACGAGTAAAAAAAGACTAGCTAAAATTTCACAAATCGTCATATTTTGTGTTATAAATTTTTCAGCCAAATCAGAAATAGTCAAGCAAAATTGTTTAAAAAAAATAAATCTGATGATTTGAGGTGTAACAACCCATAATCTAAAACATTTAAAAAATCCGACATATATATATATATTTTGTACCATTTTCATCACATGTAAATTTGGTCATTTACAACTTATTAAAAATAGCCCCCCTTTTTCTTCACATTTACAGTATTTGCTCATTTAAATCGCAGTGTGCAGCGAACATCCAGGATGCTGATCTGGTATCTACACCAGCTGTTGCATCCTCTGGAGCTTTACGATAAACTTTTTTAGCCAATTGCACAGTTGGCAGCTTGATACTTCACGTGCAAAGTGCCCCTGATCATTTGGAAACTGGCAATAAAAAATAACTCCGAAATGATGTAGAAAGTAAACACCTCTACATAGGATCTGGGGTTTGTTGATGCTGCAAATCCACTTTTTAAATGGATGAATGTATTGTCCAATTAGCCATGAGCTAAGCTAATGAGCTAACAAGCTTGCTAACCAACTGGAGGGCCTCATTTTCCCACTTCATTGCCTTTGAAAAGTTGAATGTAATCGTGTAAATTGGTGAGAAGCGTGCCGGGAAAGCACAATAGAAAGTCTAGAAGCAGCTTCACTAGCCATCTCATTCGACTTCTGTTTCAGTGACGTTGCTATTTGCTCAGATTTCAGCATTGAATTCAGCAAGTACAGTAAAATCAGAACCAATAAATCCAGACCTACTAAAATAAGGTCCAAATGGCAATAAACTAGAATTATCCTTTACTCTGACATTCCTTGACCACCACTGGAAAATAATCTTTTCTCTACACCTTCGTACAAAAGTCAAAGCAGTCCAGCAGTGAGTCGCTCCAGAGAGCTTCCCCCTGAAAGCCTGCAGTCAGCGTCCTCCATCATCCCGCTGCCACAAACGGCCGCCCGCCCGTGTGCTCGAATCTGATCTCACCTCTTCAGGAACCGTTTTGAATGCATGGGTGGCTGCTCGGGGACGTCCCCCTCGCATTAGAAACTGCACATGTAACTGAAAGCCTCAGATTAGCTGACATCAGTGTAACTTTTGTTTCTTTTTTCCTGTTTTGTTTTTCTCCAAAAAGTTCAAGTCCCGCAAGCGGATCTTCGACTTAAGACCCGCTCCGTGATAAAAATTAAAACCCATGTATCAAAAAAGAACAGTATCGTCTTTGCTCGAACCCTGCAGAGATATAACGTTTGCTGATTGGAGTTTCTGGTATCAGATCTCCGAGATAGAAATTACAGTACACCAAAAAAACCTGCCGGGTCTTGATCTCGTGCAGCCAGCTGTGGGTGTTTTAGTGTTTTTTTTTTGTTGGGCGGTCTGGGCAGTCGTGACATCAAACTGTGATGAAGGTCAGATCTTTAAAGGAAGACCGAGGACGATCCCAGTTGATAATTTCAAAGTCTTTGTACAGAAAAGCATCCCAGTCGGTGGGATTTTCTCGTCTCCTCTACATGTAGCAGTGTGCAAGCACATGGGAGAAACTCCACACCAGCATGAGACATGTGGTGCTTTAACATCTGCAAAAATATATCTTCATATTTTTCTTTTTTTTTTTGCCTTACAGATAGACAATATAAATACTAAAATTACACATGGAAAATATATACGGGGACTGAAAACGGATACGTTGTCTAGGCTATGCTAACTTAAAGTGCTAAGATACTTTTTTTTTTTATTATTATTTTGAACAGGCCGCAAGCATAAAGGTATATTCTGACTAAAATTTTCCCTCCGTTCGAAGAGAATCCTCACCGCTGCCCCGCCCTGCAGGGCATCAAAACTGATCCAAACATACTTTAAGATTCATAGTGTCAGTTTATTTGTCAGCAGATGTAAATGTGAGACTGGAATGTTTTGTACTCTCGTAACTGCCGTGCAAACGTACTTCCTCGTTTTAGAGAAGTGAAAGTAAACCGGCATTAAAAAAAAAAAAAACCCTGATCGACAATCACGCAGAATCCCTTTCCTGTGTCATTCTGTCCTCGCTTTGGTTAAAAAAAAAAAAAAATACAACAACAACAAAAAGAAAAAAAGTGCCTTCATATGACTAATCGCCTTCCCACGTGCTTTTATGTGACTGTCAGATCATTTCAATAAACCGGCTTCTGTCCTTGGCGCTTACTGCACAGAATCCTCTGCTAAAATATACTGCAAGTGTGTGTCTGTGTGTGTGTGTGTGTGTGTGTGTGAGATAGAAAAATATCCAAGCAGGAGTATTTAAAGCTAAGTGGTGAAAAATAGTCGCCTCAGATCTTTCCTGATCATTTAACTTCCTGGCATGCAGAGCCCACCCCCCCCCCACCCACCCACCCAACCCCTGAAACTTGCCAGCGCGCCTCTCATACCTCGTCTTACTTTGCTAAATCAAAGTGTACTGCACTGTGAAGCGAAGAGAAGAGAAAAAAAAAATAAAATACGATACCTGAAACTGTCTGAAACCACACAACAAGACTCATAACAAAACAGCAGCAAACCAGCGGAGCCGATGATTATACAGGCAGGTCTGTCTCCAGGGGCGTTCGCTAAAAAGGACTCTGCATGTGGACTCACAAATCCAAGACGGACCCGTGTTTAAGTTTTTGCATCCCTACCTATAGATTACACGTTTGACTTCCCCCCACCCCCTATTTTATTTTATTTTTTTTTGTTTCTGGCCCGGATCTCTTACATAATCTATAAGAGGAGATGTGTGCGGGCCGGTTGCCATGGCGATCATATCTTGCTGTTCTCCAGGTGGGAGTCGATGTGCTTGATGAGGGCATCGTCAGGGTAACCGACGGGGAATATCAGCTGGCAGAGAGGGCAGCTCCTCATGTCGCTCTCCTCCGTCTCCATCCAGAGCTGCAAGGAGAAAAAAAAAAAAAAAAAACCCAACACATGCACAGGTGCACGCGCATAATTAGCCATCGGGATGCATCACATGCGCCACCTCGACTCACTCGCGGCACCGGGTAGTATTAGTCAGCCGTGTGGGAGGCAACGAAATTACATCACTACGTGGTGAGTGATCGATTCAGACTTGCACAACAGGGCCGAGGAATAGACACACTTGTAGTAAATCCAGGTGGAGAGTCATCTGAATCATTTTGTAATGGAGAAAGAAAGCTTATTTGATTTGTTTCTGAGAGTAAAATGAGAAGATCGGTGTCAGTTTCATGTCCCCCGCATTAGCAGAGGGATGCACTTTGAAGCAAGTTTGACATAGTCAGGCTTGACAAAACCCAAGATCCCAAATTGAATTGTGTCTGAAACGAGCTTTTCTGAAAACAGTCTCCAGAGAAGATGAGTCTGAAAACTCTTTTGGCAAACTAGGATGGAAAAATCTCAGGAGCATCTAACTGTGAACATCCTAATCATGGCTTAGATGGCAATGAAATGCATCACAGGCGAGCACAGGAAGCGAGGAGGTCAATACTGGAAGTTTAAGCAGCTGAGAGGCAGCAAATATATCAACATATGAATTATGAACATTCATCTGGATCGTCAGAGGAATGCAGTGCAAAGGAAGTTCAACATAGCCTGGTTAACTTTGTGTTAGCTGGCTTGTGAAAACCTCAGAGATAATTACAAAGGTAACTTTTTTTCTATACGCAGGTTTTTCTTCTCCAGAAAGGAGGCATTGAACGCATCATGTGACTGTTTTTCTGCACAAAATAGACCAATCGTGTGCAGCCTACTTTGTTTTAAAAATAATTTAAAAAAGCATTTAAAAGCGCTGCTACTGCAAATGACGCAAGAGAGGAACGCTGATAGGAAATTCTTAATATTGTCAGTGAATGTATTTACTGCTATGCTGCACACAGAAGCTCTTAAACGTTTTGAAGAAGTGCATGTTAGTCGGGTCCATAAGAAGGATACATGGACATGTCTTTTTAGTGAAGTGAAATTAAAGTTATTGGTTGACTTTTTTGAGTGATCTTCTCTTAGCTGCAATACCAGCAGTGCAAAAGGGTCTTGGCAGCAAATCAGAAGTAAGTATCGAGACATATTTCTGCATCACCAACTAAATGCACGTAGCTTCCATCGCATATGGTTTGTGCTGCTGTAGCTGCACAGCTTTGTTTAGTAGAATTACTGATGTACAGCTCAGCAGGTCTGCAGATACAACAGATTCTCCAAGTTGACAATCTGTATAGTACATAGAAAATCATCAGGACACTGTGTGACACTGAACATATCTCCCTAACCTAATTCTGCAGCCCTCTGGAGTCAGCTTTGCTCAGCTCAACATATAAACCAATGTCTGCTAATTCTGGCCAGGATGACCCATAAGTATTATCTGATCTTTATTTTTACAAAAATAAGAATATGGACCTAACTTAAGATATAGTTTGGTCCATCAGAGTCAAAACTGTACTCAGCAGAAACAGAGACTTTTATCTTTTTCAGTCCATGAACTCTTCTTCTGTGTTAAAACTACCCGACTAACAGCAGCTTCTACAGCCTCGGGCCTCTCGCCTCGAGCACAGACGAGGAGCAACTCCACAGCTTCAGGTTATTTACATTTCTAGACTTGCGAGTGTTTGAACCCGACGGACGATGACTCAGGTGACTGTATTAGAGGCAATTTATTGCATTTCCTCCCTCATAAAACGCAGCAGTGTGGCGCAAGACCTGTGTTTAGAGCGTGAGTTTCCCCTTTAAAGTCATTTGCCGATCAAACCCTTAAAAGCTCATCTCTGTACATCAAAGTTACTTATTTAGAAGTTTCTCCATTAAACTGATCCATTCTTGTCCTGAACTGACTTCTGTGACCTCTCACTGCTCCCCGCTTGCTACACCTTGAGCACACCGGCTCACCTATGAATCTGCTCAAACACTGTAAAACCATATTATGTTATATTAATTCAGCCGTACATGCTTGAAACTGATTCAGTGATACCGAAAGCCTCACCCTGCAAGTCGACGGAATCGGTTCTTTAGGTTCGTTACGTATGAAACCCTGGAAGTGTAAATCTGTGTTTTTGAAACCATCACCTTTACATGTCAGCCACGAGGTGGAAATTCTTTGACTGCTTGTTGCTTCTTTCTTGCAAACACTATACGGACACCGAAACAAGGTTGAAACCTTTCTTTGGAAGGGGTGTTTAAGGTTTGGGAACATCATGGTTAAAGGAAACCAGCATCGTTAGGAGGAAAGCAGTAGTTCTGTGTGTTAAATCTGATGTTTTATCGACCCATCTATCCTCCCCAACCTCCTCCGTCTGAGGGCGTTGAAGCTGTATAACATCACACCACTTGTCCTCTGCTACTAACAGACATACATAATCCCTAATCGATGCTAAAGATCCATTCTGCTTAACATCTTATCTTGGTAACTTGTTTTTTATATGCTAGAGGACACATCACGAGCACCATAAGTAGTCAATGTCACGGCCGAATGGTTCTCCCCTCGTTCAGACTTTCAGGTAACAAATCTAAAGACCTAACCCTGTCAGCGTGCAGGGTGGGACTTCCTGTGTCATTCCTCTTCTTCTTGTTATTGTGCAGATGAGTTTTATAGTGTTTGAGCAGAGTTGTGGGTGAGCTGGTGTGCTCGAACCGCAGCAAACAGTGGAGGGATCCGTGGAGATAGTCAGGGATTATCTTAATGGATAAATTATGGCGTCTTCATGCTCAGAGGAGTTTAATCAACGGCTGCAGAGGGGCTCTAACGTGTCAGTAGCTTAGCTTAAGGCCTGAAAGCAGACGGGAACATCTAGTCTGGCTTTAACGCAAAGTCTAACATACAGCTGCTAACACCTCTAAAGCAGCTTTCTTTACACAATGCACGTCTATTGTTTACCAGAAATGTAAGAAGAGGAGTTGGAGAGATTGTTGGATTTGTTGCTTGACTAACAGTCGTAGGGTTTTGGTGTTGGTTTCTGTCCATCATCGCTGTACCAGACCAGCAGGAGAATAGTTCCCATATGTCACTTGATCAGTCTAAAACCACACTTTAAAAAAAATCTCTTTTCACGTACAAGTCAAAGAAAAATGTCATAAAAGATGTTAATCAGTCGGTTTAGAGTTGTTATAAGACTTCGTTATTTTATCTTTGGGCACAGCGAGACAAGCTGTTTCCCCATTTTTGTTTGGTGTGTGGACTCCACCTTTGCACTGAAATGCACAGTCATAAGATGGATATCAAACTTCTCATCTCCCAGAAAGAAAGCAAATAAGTGTATTTCTCAATATGTTGGTCTTTTCTTTTAAAGGAACTAAGGCCGAGACCTTGAGATGATTTTGACATTAGGTGTGAAAAGAGTACTTGGGTAAAAAACACAAGTTATTTCTGATAAACATCCTGAAAGTAGCTGCATTTGTGACAGAAAAAAAAACAGTTTGCTTCACTTATGCAACTTTAAGAGGAACTCAGGTGTAGTTACGTGTGTTTTTAACTCACATTAATGGAAGGCCAGGACTGAGCATGCTCGGCTGACATGTACCCCGGCTGCGGGTGGCAGCTGAGGGTGTTAGGCCTCTGAGGGATGGGGAAGGCTGAGCAGGACGCCGGGCCCCTCATGATGGTGCCGGGCACCGCAGCGGAGAGCACGCCCAGCGTCCTCGGTGGGCTGATGGGATGCGGACAGGCCCACTCCTCCTCGTCCTCGGAGGACTGCGGGGGCTGGGGGGCCGGCGTGGAAGGAGGAGGCGGCTCAAAATGAAGGTGGGCCACCTCGGACAGTGGAAATGGCATCTCCCTGGAGTGGCGCATGGAGCTCTCCCCCAGGCCCCCGTCTCCTGCGCCGCCTTGATGTGGAGACGGGGACGCTCTGTGCTGCAGTCCGCTGTGAGGAGAGCCCACCAGCTGGGGTTGCTGCTTCGCGTAGCCGTCGACGTAGGGCCGCGGCTTGGGCAGGGTCGACACTGGATCCAGGGAGAAGCGAGGCGGGCACTGGTAGGCCGAGGGGTCGGCGACCTCGGAGTAGCTGCGACGGCCCTGGAAGCTGGCCCTCAGGTGCTGGGTGGGCGGCCGGCAGGAGTAAGAGGCCGGCCCGTCGTTGACGTCCAGCAGGGGCGAGCGGCGGTGCATGTCCGGGGAGAGGCGCTGCAGCACTGGGGAGCGGCGCTGCTGGATCGGGGAGTGGTGCGGAGGTGGAGGGACCGGGGAGTGGCGCTGTGAGATGGGCGAGTGGCGCTGAGACACTGGAGAGTGGCGCTGGTGGTGGATGGGAGAGTGACGCTGGACTGAGGGAAAATAAAAAAACAACACAAATCAATCATGTACTTTAGGCATCTTGGCAACACATTTCTATCATAACATTACTCAAAACACGAGCCGATCAGCATTATATTTGACAGCCTATTGCTTTTTTGGGGGTTTTATACATACTAAGTTCTCGGAGAAAATATCTCCTCTGATTAACCATTTTTTAAAGTTAGTTCACTTCCTGTTTCTCTATCTGAAGCTATGTTATGATGCCCATTGTGTGGGATGATTTTATCTTATCTTAATCTATTTCCTTTCATTAATTATAATATTTATTTTGTCAATGATTGGTAAATATTTTACTATTTAAAAAAAAAAAAAATTTAATTACATTTTTTTGCTCATTGTGTTTTATCTGATGTGTAGTTTTAGAGTGTGGTGAAACTGTGTAGCTGCTGACTGGCAGACTAATTGTCCTTTAATTATAATTACCTTGAGCACATTTACTACATTATACAGTAGGGCTGCATGATTGTGGCCAAAATTATAATTATGATGATTCGTCATGATTATTATTTGACTTTAGTGATAATATAATTTTATTGCACTTAATAGAAATAAAACAGAGAGCTGCTTCCTCTTTTGCATGATGCTACATGCAAGTCTTGGCATCAAAATAGACTTTTCCTTCACCTGAATTCTGAGCATCTCCAAGAGGCAAAATAGAAATAAAATTCTACCCATGATGCCTCACTTGCTACTTATCTGCCTTTTAAAAGACACTAAAATGTCCCAATGTTCCCTGAAAGCCTCACATGCAGGCTACAGTAGATGATGGCTAACTGGCAGCGCACATAGAAGCCTCTAGTCTCCACTCAGTTACTGCGGTGCAGCAACTCAGACAGGTGTGTGATGAAAAATTACTTTAAAAGCATGAAATACAGGTCAGATTTACCCAAGTTGGAAATCAATGATGGCAGTATTTTAAAGTGCAAACTGGTACTTGATCATGTTAACTTAGTTTTGTGGAGCCAGAGAGCAAGTGTTACTTCTGTGCTCATACTTTTCTATAATTTTGTACTACTATGGTTTGGGCCTCTTTGAATCAAATAACAGGAATTCTTAACACAGCATGCAATATTTTATACAATAGTGTGCTTCCAGCTTTTCTTGTTTTAACATGACGCTGCTCCTGTGTACAAAACCAGATCTACAAAGACCTCTGGAAGAACTTGCTTTCATTTTGTCATCCACCTAACAGCATTGGAACATGCCACCTTTGTGTCTGCACGCCGGTCACTTCCGTATAAAAGTTGCAACCGCATTCTCACAAGGCACAAGTGTGAACTGCGCCCAGTCACGTGAACTGGTACACGGGCGACACGTTTCCAGCTGTGTGAAGCGATTTGAGGAAGGCTTTTATCAACATCTTAGCACCGAGCTTTGTCCAAAAACAACAAAGTTCAAGAGATCAGAGTTCTAACATCACAAAGGCCCTTTCATATTTAGTTTGATTCATTTTGGCCTGCAGTTTCTCCTCTGTTAGGCTACAAGATGAAATGTCCATAAAAATAAAACTGCAACAAGACTGTTTTGGATAAACGAGACGCACCAAAAATAAATGTTATTAAGGTTCATTTGGTTGCCTCCAGCTGCTTGTAGGAGTCGTTCCTCTGAGTTTGTTAAACGCCTGCAGCATCCGACTTTAGTTTTTTGTCTTGACTTTTGTTTGCAATATTTTGCATTATGTACAAAATGTAAACATATTGTTGTTCTTTCCATCACTGTGATGGATTTGTCTGAATGAAGAAGTAAGGAGCATTCATGTAAACAAAACAGATCAACAAATCCAGGAGTGTTGCATATTCCATTGATGACTTCAGTCCCATCAAACACCTTCTTCATAAACACAACAGCGACCGCCATCAGTTATCTCCTCCACTAGTGCTTTTAAATGCAAAAACCTCCAACCTGGACCCAAAATCTAGTGTAAAAAATACAGTATGACTCTTCGTGCATGTCATTTGCTCAAGTCTCTGCACGCATTTGGCCGTAATATATAACAGGATGCACAATTTGAACATTTTAGAGCTGAAGACTGCATGAGTTTGTGTGGCAACATTTCAAACACAATGAGAAGAAAATGTCACTGATTCACCACCGTTGTTATGCTAAAGCATGGCATTCTCATCGCAGATCACCGCCGCTCCCGCTGGCGTGTTGCTCGGCGTCGACACCGCTAATATGCAATTTCATCGGAGCTTTTATCGAATAAACCGTCCTTTAGATGTTCGCGCCGATATTCCACTTAATAGAAATGCAAATTCTGTTCCTTTCATGAAAAGATTTATCTGCACAAGTACAGTTGTAGTGTTTCCTGTAATTGCAAGATATGTTGATGAGTCAGTCGGCGCTGTAGTCACCACTTCAGCTCCACTTCCCATTACAAAGAAGAAACATCATTTTTTTTTTTGGCTGGTTGACTGAGGTGTTAAAAGGGAGGGGGTGTTTGTGCTCTTCAGCGCTCTCCGAATGAGGAGGAAACAGTCAAACGGGACTATTCATTTCACGCTCTCTCTTACAGCACAACACCCAGGAGAGGTTTTTTTTTTGTTGTTTAATGGCTCCGTGCAAATTCCCACTTCCCTGAATGTTTCAACAATTCACGAAAAATATTTGTTTATGGTTAAAGATAGCTGAGAGGCAATCATATCACTCGCGCCCATCCTGTAACTAATTAAACACAAGTGCCACTCGAGTTGCATTTTCTATATTAATGTGTCCCAGCGCAACTCGAGGGAAAAGTTACGGGTAGTTTCGGGGGAGTTTTCTGCCCTTTAAAAAGAAAACCTATTCCCTGAGATTTGTGCAAATATTTGTATGCCGATAGTCCATGCATTTTGGTTTTGTGGTAGACGCGCAGTTGCGAGACGTGAGCTATGTGTGTGAGCATTTTACGCAGGAAGAGAAAGGTGTTGCTACTGTTTAACACGTCGAAGTTTAAATCTACAACATGTCTGCGTTAGTTGTTATCTTTGCTTTTTAAAGTGAGAAAACGGTAGCAGCAAATCACAACCAGAGGTTTTTTTTTTTTTTTTTAAATTAGAATCGCACAGCCGAAAGTGTGGTCACGTAACACATCGGTCGTGTTTTTATTTTGTGAGATCCGATTTTTTTTTTTTGAATGTAAAGAATCTTCTTAAAATTGAGAAATATGCTCAATTTGTGGTGGATGAAATATAAAATGCTTGTATGTAAATATGTTGGTGCTGGAATCCAACTGAGATCATTTACTTGAATACAGAAAACAGCAAATTTCTCACGTGTTTATTTTAGTATTTTAGTTTTCACACTCCTTTAATTACTTCACTTCATTGCGCTTTTAACCTAATACTTCTACACGATGGCTATGTTGACTTGTTACATGATGCTTTGTTTACATATCAGGGTTTTTCCTGTCTCCGAATGGGCCTTGGGTGATGCAGCTACGCGTGGTCGTAAACATGATCGGTCTGCTTACAGCAAAGCCCGATAGATAGCGATCTCTGCACTTTCCTGTTGTTTTTGAACATTTCATAAACACAAATGTCTGTTACACTTGAGTAAATGACATTCTGATGAGCAAAACTAGCTAAAAAATACAGACTTTATAATATTAAAATCTATATTACTCTAATTTTTCTTTAATTTTCCTTTTGTGCAGGCTAGCATCTCTTTACGTGGCGCCTCAAACCTCCAAAAATTAGTTTATGTAGGAAAAAACCCTTAAAATGATGGATATATACGATACATGGCAGTGTTATGGATTAAACTACAAAAGGATCGAAGCCGTACCTTCTCCAGTTACAACTCTAAAACTGAATTTGGGCTTTTATGCATCAGTGATAATAATTTAACATCCATTTGTCTGAATTGAGGACTTTTTGAGTACATTCGTGCTACTTAACCCTTAAATATTGTTCATATTTTATGCCTCCGCAGTGTGGTTCAGGTCAGGTTTGACCACGCTGTCAAGAATTCCCTCATTTTAAGCGTCCGCACCAAATTTAAACCAGAGATCTAATAAGAATGTCTAAATAGCCACTGTCACATTGATTAATGTGAATAAAAAATACAGCGTTGTGTTCAAGATTCCCTTAAACCATCATTTTCCTTGATTTGACCCACACTGGTAGATATTATATATATATTATATTTTCATTTTTGGGTCACTAAAAGATGTTTAGGGTGTTTTTACTGCCGTCAAATCGAAACAGTATGTAAATGTTAAGTGACATTATGAATGCAGGACTTTTCGCTTATTGTTTCACACGAGTAAAGGACCTCAGTACTTCCTCCACCATCAGGGCTTGATATGATCTTGACGCAGGTTTTTTTTTTTTTTGCACATCATTCCTGCGCGTCACTCTACGTGGACACTGCAGCCGCTAACCTGGACTGGCCTGCTCCTGCGTGGCTTTCCTCAGGATCTCCGTCTGCTTGGAGCTCAGAGCTTGGAGGCGTCCCAGCTCCTCCGTTAACTCCGTGTAGGCCAGAGCCAGATTCACCCTGGATGAAGACAGAGGCGGTTATGTAATTATGATAAGCACTGTTATTACAGATCGTTACAATGTTGGCAGAGTGCGAACGTATTACGGCGACATAATTGTACAGACGCTGTAATCTCTGGCTAATCTCTGTCAAAATGCATACCGCTCACCCTCTAAGATGTATGAAAGTGCAGCTTCATAAACGCGTCTCCGTCTCCTCTTTTAAGCTGAATGAGTTCAGACGCACTGACACAGCCGCACAAATCAGGGCCGGCTAATTGAGAGGCTTATAGGCTTATATTTTTAGATTGCATGTCACGGCGCATAATTGAAGTGCATAAAATCACACCATTTCATGCAAGATGTGTCATGACTCTCTCAGGGGCCGCACTGACAGAGCAACTCTATTTCAAGAGCCGTAAACAAGGACGCCTGGCTCACAGGCTTCTGTGTCTTTTAACCATGGCAACGGGCTGACTTTGTCTCAGCTCATTAGCTTAAAAAACGAATCCCACGATATAAACCCATGCGAGGCGAGCGTGATACAAGTGGATACAGGCATTAATCTCTTAACACCGTGTGCATCTGTAAACATCCATCTGATGGCTGAGATAGGACGACTTCAGTAGTTGGTTAGCGCCTGTGCACGCATCCCTTAAATCTGATAACGGGCTGCTTATCTCGTGTGTCTTACCAATTTTTTATAAACTCCTCAGTCTTGATCTGAAATTGACTCATTGCAGCACTGACAGCGGTAGATTAGTATGTTTATTACAAGAAAAGCTACCTTTGAAATCTGCTGAGATAACCTATTAACCTTGCCAGTTTGACTCATTTCTCATGCACGACAGGGCAAGAGAGTGAACATCATCAATAGTTTTATAGAGGGAGTAACGGACTTTAAAATGCTGCAGCACAAGCGTGCATGAATCACTTTTCCCCTCAAAGTGTAAAGAATAAGAAAACATAAAGCCTCTCTTCGAGCACCTGTCACTAATGATAAATGCAAAGGTTGCGGTAACAGAACACGCTTGTTGTGCCTGACTGCTTGATAGCTGCCAGTCTCACATCTGATAAGCAGCCCAGATACCCAATTTAACCTCCCCTTTGATGAGAATTTGACTCAGCTCGTTCCTCTATACAGATCGTGGCAGATAAACAAAAAAAAAAAAACAACCTGCTAACTACACTTCTGCATGTCCTGGGGATTGAACTTCCACTGCTGCTCTTAAAGAAAAAAAAAAAAAAGAGATAAACACTTATGTATCCTGCCTACACAGCAAATAAAACACGGCGTCAAATTAAAAATATGTTCTCCGGCACACCCGCGCGCTAACTTAATTGAGCCTTCCCACTTGCGAGTGTGTAAAAAAGCTGCTACTTGAAGGAACACGGTGTATTTTTGTACTAATCTCAGCAGATTCTTCTCCTTCCCCGCCTCCCTGCAGCACAATCTACGCCACTGCAAAAACAACTCACGTGATTTTAACTGCAAATTAAGTTATTATTACGAGAGAAGCTCCTGATTTCAAATAAACTGAAAATAAGTCATAGCTTCCACTGGTTAGTTTGGTTTTTTTACTAGTGGCCCACCTAGTTTTCCAGCCTGCTGCTATGACTCACACACAGACCGGGGGCAGTAAACCCCCTTCAGCCCCTTTTCCTACTGCTTTGTGGTGCGAGTTGGTGGAACCTGGGTGCAAAACATGATTCAGGGTCACCGGAGCCCAGAATGCACCAACCTGTATGTGGCTTTGGATAAAAAAAAAAAAAAAAACCTGCTGCAAGCACACAAATACATTTAGCGGTAGGAAAATAGCAATCATTTCGGTACTTACTGGCATGGTGGGTGGAGTGTACATGCAGCCATAATACCGGTATCACCAAAGCAGCCATAAAATTCACTTAGTTCTTTTCCCCCCTCGCTGCTCTCAGGGGGCTCTCTGCTCTTTTATTTCTAACTGCAGACGCCGCACACTGACTTTTCTTTGATTGACGTCCCCCTTCCTTTTTCACACGTCTTTTTCAATTTTGCTCATGGGTTTTGACGATGTCTGTTGCAGGGCCCTGGTCAGAGTGCAACACCTTTTTTCTGCCACACCTGCATGAGAAAATATTTTAATACTGCATGTTATTTCGCACGTCTTTTGTTTCCTCTCTGTTGTTTTTTTTTTTTTTTTTTGCTCGTATGCGAGTAGCAAGCGCGCACATACTGTAAAAATGTACACTACAGTGCGTAGGTGGGGTGTGATAATGCCAGAGAGCAGCATTGATGAAAGCTTTGTGTGCGAGTGAATCGATCAGGTGCAAGAGAACAGTATATAAACTGTATATATGTGTGTGTGGGAGATGAGCGTGGGCTGAAACGTGACCTCTGATCTGATGGGACGTTTTAAAAGAAAGAGAGCTGTCGCCGCTGCCTGCCTTCGGGATCTGACCTTCTCTTTGTTAGCTAACACTCAGCGCGATAATAAACGGCTTTCAGAGCTGCTCACATTATAGACATGGCCTTCTGGGGAGAGGAGAGGCGTGATGGGGGGGAGACTAACACCTGGAGTCACTGCAGTCTGCCTGATGTGGCATATATATGTATTATAATCTCTACTGTGTGGTGGAAAAAATATACTCATTGCTCAAAAGAAATGGAGGATTTTGGACGCCGTGAAAGGGGGGCAGGTGTCTAACAGCCAGTGGGTTTGCGGTGAGGGGCTTTTCACACTCTGCAGTCCAAACTCCGTCACACTTTACCTCTGCAGCTTCTGCTAAAAACAGAAAGGTGTCAAACTGTCCTCACAGCAAGCTGCAGCGAGTGTGTTTCATCACCCAGAGTTTCCTCAGTTTGGGGTCTGATTGTCGATCGAAACGTGAATTCAGATCCTCGCAGAAGTCAAATTCGAGGCAGAATTTCTAACAAATTTCCCTTGAAGTCGAATTCAGCATGTTGTGATTTATTGGAAACGGCTCTGTTTGTGAAAGCTGCACAGGAATTAGTCAGGTTGTCTCGCTTCGCTCGGGTTGGGGTGCGCTGCGGGGGTTCGGCCTGCGTCAACAGCTGCGTGACTTGTGGTCGGTGAGGGCAACCCATTCACGTATGTTCAGATGTGTGTGGAGCACATGAAAGCCCACAAATGCAAAAAAAACCTGCTGTGGATTTGCCTCTCTGAAACAAATTCTAAAAAAAAAGCACAGAAAAAAGAACATTCAGTGACTAATAGAAGATAAAATGAACTTAGTTGAGCTGTTGGAGGGTGGATTGTGAGTTTTTCTTGCTTTAAAAAAAAAAAAAAATTAATTTGTCACTCGAGCAGAATGAAGAAGCTTCACAAATATCACAGACAAACTAACTCACTGACTCCTCTGTGTTAAATTCGCCCCGCTGCACCCATAAACCCTCCACATCAATCTGTGCAGTTTACACTAAACGAGCCCAATTACAAGAAAAAGCACCAGGAAACAGAGTAGAGGCTTTTCAGTGGGAGTTGATGATATTGTTGAGTAAAACCAAAAGGTGACCAAGGTCTGGAAAAAAACAGTCGGCTTCCACCACACACTCAGTCAAAACTAAAGAAACTCAGCGTCTCTCGTCTTCTCTTTACTTTCAGTTTGCTCCCCATCGAAACACTTCTGGGGTTTCACTGCGTGGGCGTCAGTTGCCCAACCTGCTGCGGTTTGATCTTTTTTTATTACCTGTGCAGCCTTGTAAACATGCAACGCTGGGGGCAAATTTGACGAGCGCGTCGAAAATAAGCCGCTTAAGTTTCCTCGTAAACACGTTTGTGTCGTTTGGCAGCGAGTGGGAGAGAACACAAGTGGAAATACAGCAGCCTGGATGACTAGTTAGTGAGTGTAGGAGAGCAGAAATAAAGGAACAAATGCACATATAGGCGACTAAATGCCTTATTAAGGTGTCCGACTAACTCACAGAAATGAGGAAATGCAGAGGAAGGCGTCCTATTCTGTGCTAACGCTGCCCCCTGCTGCTCAGGATCATCGCCTCCCAAATGCAAATGTTTATAAAAAAAAGAGTTAAATGCACATACAGGAGAGTTTACATCACATGCAGCCTTTGTGGCCGAACACCCAGCGATGGAGAGCTGCTCTGCTTTCTAATGAGGCCCCTGGAGGTCATCGCAGCAGGAGAGGAGAGCTCCGGATGAGCAGCAGCATCTCTTATCATCTTTTTTCTTATCCCCCCATTGTTGCTTCATTAATCAACCGATACCGCTCCTTCCTTACATAACTACCTTTCCGTCCATCCATCTATCTTCACCCCATCCCTCCCTCCATCCCACCGCCCAGAGATCTGCCGTGGTCACTTACTGCTCGTCTCCCACCTTCTTTATCCACTCCACATCGCACTGCTTGCACGGAGAAGTCATTTCCTGCCGAAGTAGAGCGTGAAATTAGATTAGCATGCAGGTGCCGCCGGAATATTGGACAAAATCTGACAGCGAGAACCGATCAAGACAACATGTTTGAAGGTTACACTCTGGGAAAAAATTGGTGTGTGAGATAAAAAGCAGGAGGCGGTCATTGATAAGCGCTGTGTTTGTGTGTTTGTGTCTCCATGTAGTGTGGAGTTATTCCATCTCTGATGATCAGGGGCCTTCTGCTCAACCGTCTCCAATTAAATCATAGAATACTGATACCAGCAAAGATATCTGTGAAATTTTGGTTGATATATCGAGCAATCTTTTCCATTAAGTATAAGAACAGGAGAGGTAGCAGCTGACTGTTTGTGCAGCCTCCAAAGTGGGCTCTGAAAATGAACATAGATATTTTCATCGTCTCACTTTCATTTAGAAAATGCAAAACGCTGTTCTCTTTGGATCAGGCTATGTAGCTCAATCAGTTCTGAAAATTCAGCGAAAATAACTTTTCCATCAAAGTATTTCATATTAAAAAATAGTTGACATCTGCATTGTTATTTTTTTTGTTAATGTGAGCTCAAGGTGGGACTTCTGATGATGCCTTCGTATTTTAACTCGCCCATTATCACAGATTATTAGATCGACTTGTCCAGTATTGCAGATTATGAGTCAATGATATAATGAAAAAACTGCAAAAATATCAGCTTTTAATCTTCCTGAGATATTATCGTTCAAACATAGACTCAGATTTTTATGCACGAAAAAAAAAATGCTGAAAGTGGATCAAAGAGCAGTTAAAAGAATAGAATAATAATAATGAAATAAAAACGATATAAATATCTTTATAAATATCCATATGCCATGTGTGCTGTTAAAGCTGAGAGTTTAAAAATTAGCTGCAGAAAGTTTTAACTGTTTTTTTTCTTCTTAAAAATGTACCTAAACCAACTGATCTATAATCTATAAGAAATTGTTAGTGATTAATTTATTAGGTGACTTTTGATGTGGACATTATTGAAAGTTATGGCCTAAATTAATACTTTTTTAAAAATGTGATTTTACAAGTTACAATCTGCAAAATAACATTAAATTAAAATAAAAAAAATACAGTTGAAAACTGTTTTAGAAAACTCTTTATTATTAATATTATTATTTTATTTATTTATTTATTTACAGTGCTGCTCTAATCTGAGTACAGTTTAGTTGCATCAGAAAATAAATATTTGTGAGACTGAAGATTTTCTACATCGTAAAACGTAAAACGTAAAACCTCACTTTCAGTCGTACAGAGAGGAACTGTTACATATATTTTTAAACTTACTTACTTAGGGGTGTAAGAAAAACCCCAAAATGAGTTTGACCGGTCGGAGTCAGAAGAAAAGATGGACGGTTAGCTTAGCTTAGCATAAACAGTGACACCGGTGTAAGCAGCCAGTCTGGCTCTGTTCAGAGGTAACACAATCCAGCTACCAATATCTTGAAATTCCATTTCTTAACACTTTATATCTTGTTTGTTTGGCTACACATTATGCAATAAACAGCTAGTGGTTTATGCTAAGCTAAGCTAACCATGTCTTGGCTATAAGTTTATATTTAATACACAAACATGAGAAGGGGTTGGGTCTCTCCATCAAACTTTCAGCAACAACAGACTATTTATTTTAATACAAAATGCCATAAATGCAGATTAAATGGGATTATACCACCATCAGTTTAAGTCAGTGAGGTATTTCGCTCTTCGTGCAGCGTGTTGACGTCAGCTTGGTGAACGGATATGTGGTGTGTCTGAATCCACATCGTGTCTTTAAGCTTTTTAAAACCTTCCCTGAATGTTTAATTTGCCAAACGGCACATTCATATTGTATGGGATAAACTGCGGGTATCCGACTTGTAAAATACGGCTCATGTTGACATCCGATGAATAATTAAGACGAGAAATCTCAGATTTTTGTGAAAGCAACAACATTATCCAACTTAGCGCTGAATAATACAGGCGACACGAGACATGGACGGCATCATTTGAGGTAATTAAACTAGAGTCTCATGGAAATAGTGTTTTTTGTCAATTCACAGGAACTGTTTGAGGTTGAAAAGTCACCCGACAGTCTTGAGAATCTTCCCTGCTGCTACCACTCATGCCAAATGATGTTTCAAGGACAGATTTGCTCTCAGTATTGTTTTTGATGAGTTTTAAATCAGTTTTAGATGTCTTGAATTAAGAAATGCGTACATATTAGCATCTTAGACATGTGCCATACATCATTTTTAGCTCTGTTTTTGGTCTCCACCTCCTGAGGAAAATGGTTTATATATTCGACTGGCTGTTTGTTGTTTGGTCCTGAACAAATAGTGTTGTAGTGGGCTCCGGAGTTTTTGTGCTGAAAACAGTTGGCTGCTGCGACCAGAAAACTCATTATGGAAGCAGTGAGACTGAATCAGAACAAGAAAGTTTCAGCTAAACAATGAGCTGAAAAACTATGAATCACTTTGCTGTTCTGAAAATATGAATTACATGTTATTTCACACTTTAGCCATTGTTTGGGAACAGAAATGAAAAAAAAAATCAAAAATGGTGGCTTTGAAAGTAAGATTGGGTTTTGGAAAACTGATGAATATCCATGTGAGGATGAATTCGACTTTTGAGTTTGTTATAAACCATCGATATTAAAATGCTATCTGTGAAATTTAAGATTGTCAGATATGTTCTGAGATAACTGCCCATCGACCCACTTTCAGCTTGAGGTTTTGTCGCACATTAAAAGTTGAGGCTGTTTGAGCAACAACATCTCAACAACTATTAGAGATAAAAGCCTGAATTTTTCACTGTTATTGCTCATCATGTCATTGATTCAGAATCTGCAAGTTGATTGAATAATCTCTGAAATATGAAAACACATGAAGCCGTCATGAAAAGTCAGATCTTGAGCTCATATTAGCAAAACAATCGATAATCCGAAAGTCAGCTAGGACTCTGTTCTACCTAAATTAGACGATCTAGTAATATTTTTGCTTTTGCGGTACAACTTGTCATACCTACACAATCAGCTATGAAAATAACTTTCAGTTCTCTATTTGTTGCTTTGTGTTATTGTGACATGCAGCTACATTTAGTTCAGAAAGTATCTGTATCTCTAGACTTTTTGTGACAGCTTCAGTTTTGTTTGTTTTTTTGTAATCAGAGATGATTGGATTCATTTGTCCAACATTTCAGATTCTGAACCAACGTCATTTCATTTAATGTCGTAGTACTTTGTGTATGCTGACAATAAAAGTATTTCTATTCTATTCTACTCTACTCTACTCTATTCTATTCTATTCTATTCTATTCTATTCTATGAAAAATAGACTTTAATCTGCAATAGTTCCTGAGATATTATTGTTCAAACACTTGTTCACATTGAAAATTGAGGCTGAATGTGGATTAATGGGCAATTTGAAAAAAAAAAAAGATTTATCTCAGAAAGTATCTGATATATCAAGCTATCTTTTTTTTTTTTTTTTTTTTTTTTTTACAAATATCTGTATAAATATCAATATTTTATACGATAAAAAAATTTAAGCAAATTAGAAGTACTCTAGTAGAAGCTTGTTCAAAAAAATGTGATGATTTGAGATGGAATAAACCCACAAATAAAATGTTAAGACTAAACAACTACAACAAAATAATGAAAAATGAACACGACAGTTTGCATCAAAGTCTTTTTCACTTCTAATGACATTAAGTTCAACCAACTGGTTAAACTGAGTCATGAACAGTTCAGGCTTCTTGACAGATTGTCGTTGAAATCAATTTCAATGTGTGAGAAATATGTGCTGAAAGTAAAAAAAAAAAAAAGAAATAAAGAAAAAGATCTCAGGAAGTATTTGATATGTCAAGGTAACATTTCACAAACATCTTTATAAATATCCATATTTTGTGCTTTTAAAACTCCAGGCAAATCAGAAGTGGTTGAGCAGAAATTGTTCAATGACTTTTATAAAAACCCTTCAAAAAAAAAAAAAAATTAGCACAAAAGTCTTTATCACCTAATGAAATTATGTTCAACTAACTGACTATATTTTTATAGTTTTTAATGTTGAAGACTTGGTGAGATATTATCGACAGGCAACTAAAAAAATAATTTAAAAAATCTCATTAAGTGTTTGACATTTTAATTTTTAAAAAATCCCCAAAATCTTTATAAATATTCTTATTTTATGCTTTTGAAAGTTTAAGGCAAATCGGAGGTGGTCGAGCAGAAATTCTTTTAGAAAATGTTACAGTCTGGGATGGAATAACTCGTCTACATTTCCCTTACAAGTCATCAAGGACGTTTCAGGAAATGCATCATGGGAAAGTTTTCTGTTTGCTTTTTTTTCTCATCAAACTGTCCCCGATCTCCCCGACTGGAACACCCCACACTGACCCTCTCCCTCTGGCTGTTCTGCAGCTGTCTCATCTCGTCCTTCAGCCGCTCGCACTCGGCCTTCAGCTCCTCCTCCCGCTGACACGCCCCCTGGGCCTCGTGCCGCGCCCCCTCAAGCTCCGCCTCCAGCCGCTGCAGCTTCAGGTCGGAGAGGGCATCCAGGCTGCGGGAGCTCTGGAGGGTCAGGGCCGGACAGTCCAGCACTGGGGGTGGGAAAGAAAAACACTTTTTTTTATATCTCTGCTCCTCCTGACTGATGCAGCGTTCTTCACGTTCACGGCTGCTGTACAATAGATGAGCGTGAAAGAGCAAAAGAGCTGACTTCTTCCAAGGGCAGCATCTTTCAGCATGTACCTGGGTGATGTGATCTGTGTGGGCATGTGAGTGATTCAGCTCCGCTCACACAGACTCAGTCATTGAGGCAGAAGACGCTGCGGTATCATCTTTTATCCCATGCCCCTCCTGCCTCCTCGCCAGAAACACTCATGTACAGTCACCGGTGCAAAATATGCTGCACTACGAGATATTGCTCCCCTCATTCATGCACGAGCATTAATCAACAGCCTGCGAGCTGCAGATTAAGGAACAAACCAGCTTGTTTTGAGGACATCCGACGGTTTGACGCTTGTGCAGAAAATTCTACCTCCTCCTCCTCCTCCTCATCAAGGTATACTATCAGGAGATGCATCTGTTGAGGTGGCGGTGACACATTTCTTCCCTGTTTCAGCCGCCCACGTCTGCGCAGAGGGCAGAGTTTAGCATCACTCTAGAACAGCTAAAGTTAACAGCGCTGTAGTGGGCTCTGTGTTCTATCTGGAGTCTCAAAATGAGCCGACTTACTGAGACTGTTGGGCTTTAAAATCCAGAAATTCTGAGCGATTTATTCACACGGTTTTGTGAAAGCAGCGGAGTGACCTGCCTAGTTTGAGTCATTTGAAACTCTCATGCATTTTTCTAACACCGGAATTAATTTGCATCGTAATAACCGAAGTTATCGCACAAGTTTTCGAGCATTTGGTAACACGGACTCGTCACAATAGGGATCATTTGGTGGTGCAGATGGAAGCAACAGGCTGAATGATACACATAAATCCGCGTACTTACAGCACCAGTCACTCCGCTCCAAATGTTTTTCAAGGCACAATCTCAAATCACTGGCATCCGCATAGATTACAGGTCTGTTTTTCCTGCGACTGTGGAGCAGGAACAAAATGTCCCCGCCAGGCCGAAACTGACCTCAATTAAATGCTTTTCAGACAGATTGTTGGGTTTGATTAAAGATTGTGTAATAAAGGAGAGATGAGCGGTGATTAACGGAGGCGACCTGCGTGGAGGCCTCGCTGTGGAATGCACAAACACCTTCTTGCTGCTCTTGTTTGAATCTGCAGCTATTATTTACTCATAAAATCAGCCTCTGTAATGCTTGAACAAAACTAGTTTGTGTTTTTTTGAATGGCTCCTGGAGGAGTTGGAGGTGAAAGTATTGAAGTACAGTCTTAGTTCTGTAGCAAGGTTGAGGTGAAAAGTGACAGAAACTCTGACTCCTCTGGTCAGTCGAGATGTAAAGAAGCTGCAGAAATGCTCAGACACATCCAGACTAATACATTTTCAGTTTAATTTCTTTAAAATGATCTCCACAGACGAGAGCACCTTTCAGAAATGATACTGGTGCGTACAAACCCGCCTGAAGTGCCGATCACATGTGGAAATGTGTAAGCATGAAGAAGAATGTTGCAGAAAGAACAGCAAAAACCAGAGAGTAGAGACAACAAGGTAAACAGTGTCTATAATGTGTTATATACGTTGGACTAACCACT